GGTACCTCACCAAGTTATGTGCAAAAAGTTAATAGTAAAACTGGGTTACATACATACAAGGTATAGAACTTCTCAAATCGCGATGAATGTCAGAACTCTGCGGACAAAACATGAGCTCGCAAGTATTACACAACACTTCTCACTAAACCAGAGTGCTGTGTAATGGACGACGAACCATACGTGGAAGCAACCTTATGGCAACAGTCTGAGCAAGAATATTTCGATGTAAAGGGTAAATCTCGCGTAACATTTGAAAAGGGCCTATTAGCTTTTGTTAACAAAACTTGTAGTGCCCTTTTCGCGTGAACTGAAGGTCGCTTACGCAAACTACTAACCCCATATTCAATGGTGTTGTTGGTCTGCATTAGGGGTTTCGTCCGATATTTTCGCTACTGTTTGTAATTTTGTTTTAGAATACTGTTAATTTTGATTTAAGCCTTTATTAAGGAGATTTTTAGCCGTAGGTTAGTTCATCTCCGAGCGAGGGGAGCGACACATCTAAATCTCAATTCTAGATGCTGCTAGCGAATCAATCCATCTACTTGCATCGCGCATCATATTTTTGCAGGAAAACGTCATCAATCTTCCTTCTATCTACTAAGCGGGCGCGCAGCAAAATACAATTTTTCCTGCATCGTAGATAGAGTCGCCTCCTCGTCTCCGTTTTTTCCCCTTTATTTACAAGACTTTTAGTTATAGGCTGGTTCTCCATCTTTGAGTTGAAATCAACTACTAAAAACGTTAATCATCATAATGTGATTTAAAGTGAGTGAGATTGATAGATAAAGGGAGCTACGTACATGGAGTGATTCATACTGCTTCTGACAGCACTCACATCCAGAGGGCGAGAAGCCTTCAACCGTATGGTGGAAAATCGACCTGAGAATGTATTGCGAGATTCCCTTTTAATTAAAACTATTAACAATTATTCACTTGTACGGAATACTATTTCTACATCAATATTCAACAATCAACTACAAAGATCAGAATGTAGACATTTTCTCATAGATTGAAACAATGTTTGTAGAGGAATGACCGATTTTCCGAAAATCTCTATACTGTAAAACTGGTTTATCCACCGCGGCGGGCGACATATGTGGGATTTGATGGTGGAAAGTTACTGCCGATACTCGCACAACTGTCCCATATGAATTTTCATCATTTTTGAGTTAACCTTGAGAATGGTGTTTATTTTCATTGATCTTTAAGAAATCACACTGAAAATTACATTTATATGGGCAAAACGTAAAAAAATATCAAACTAGGTCAGTCCCATATTGAAAGTACCCGCATAACTGTCCCATTTGTCACATAAAAATAAATTGAATTAAATTTTCATTTGTTAAGGATTGCACAGTCACGTATCGTGATTTTAATATTTTTTTATTGTTAATGAACTATAAAAAATATTCCGAGTTAGTATAAAGTGCATGTATTTGATCAAATTTCACTTAACTATGCTTAATTTGCCTTAACGGGTAAACGTTCCCAGAACAGCTTTTGCTCCTCTCCGATGAGACGCAACATTACATTAAGGAACGTGTCCTTACCAGAGGCATCAAGTCCAGCAGGATTTTCTTGGATTTTAAAGAGTTTTCCAAAATAAATCCTTCAGCGGTGGCCAACTTAAGCAGTTTCTTGGAAAACAAAGAACAGGTTTGGAGTTCTCTGTCGCCTGTAACAGAGCCGCTGTACTGCAATCCCAAGCTGCTCTTTTGAATTACGATCCGCCTGATTTTGTCAATGTATGGCCGCTTCTTACATTGGTTCAGGGTGTATTGACTGACGATGAAGGTAGATTGAAAAAAAATCAGTTACTTGCATATCCAATGCTTCGACACTTTTCTTCGCTTTTCCAACGACATTGACAAACTCTGGATAGGTAACTGGCGGAGTTTGGCGCATAACTTTCTCCACAGCAGCGTGAAAAGAATCTGCCGCCATGAAAGTATGGCCAGACTCAAAAAATTTGAGGACTATTTCGTTCGTCTGAATTGATGGGGAGTTGACCAACAATATCAAATGAAGACATAGTCCCCAATTTTTGTTTTGAGCGGCGCAGTTATCAAGCCAAAATGTTATTTTCCGAAGATTGGCCAAATGGTTGATGACTCGATGAAAACAGCTGATAATGTCGTTTGCTGACCTGCCTGCTACAGCTTCATGCCACAGGCACGCTGATACTGCGTTGGACTTGGCATAGTTCCCAACTGGAGCGAAAATTTCGTTGAACGCCAGAAGACGTTGGGAAAAAACGATCGTCTTGAAACTTTCAAGTCGGGGTAACTGAATGACCGAAAACGAATATTTTGAAAATAAAATGCTTTTATGTTATTGGAAAATTTATCAAGCAACGCGAAAAGTACTAATCCAATGCTAATTTCGAAATGCACTTCTTACGTCTAAAGTAAACAACTCAAGCGATAGTGCGCAATGGGACTGGTATGCGAGTACTTTTGCGCTCGTCAACGAAAGTACTCGCATACCAGTCCCATATGATTTCGACTCATTTTTCTCGTGATAAACAAAAGTGTTAATTATATTTTAGTTACACATGATATTGTTATGTTGTAATGCAACTAATTTCAGCAGTGGTGCTGTACTTGATAATTAGAATCAACGAGAAAACAAAAAATTACATAAATGTGCAAAGTTGTCTTTTTCTCAACATGGCGATTTTTCAAATGGGACTGACATGCGGGTATGGGCAGAGTAGTACCCTATTAAATCTGGTTTTACTTCAAGTCCGGCAGCTTACAGACTCCAATACCCGACGAAACCCATAGTTTGCATAGACAAGATTCGATTCGCGCGAAAAAGGCTTTACAAGTTTTGTTTGGCTGCTGATTTAGTGAAAAACCCACCAGGACCGAATTTCCTACAAATGCTGGAACAACAGTAGATCAAGCACTTAGTGAGTTCAAGTTTTAATTTGGAGCAACCGTCTCGTTTGGCACAATCACATCGATGAGAAGCAATTTGCAGTGAGGATCTTGCACTTGAAAATTCAACTTTAACCGCAGGGAGGAAGCCATTCAAACAAGTTCTACATCCCCGTCAAGCAATTGGGATCACTTACGTCACCTGGCTATGTGGTTATGTGGATCAAAGAAATGGTACTGCATTGGGAGATGCATTTTGATCCAGCATAGGTAACACGAGCGGCTGGCTAATTACAGCTCATTCGGGTGAGACACTTCCTTTCTATATGGTTACGTTATGTTTAAATCAGTTTTTATAAAAAAAAAACTTCACCAAATAATGTTCTAAAATTTAAATTGAGGAGCTCGGCTAACTTAGTAGAAGATCATGGGTTTACTCCCAAGCTCCTCCAAAACAAAACAATTACTATGGTCGCATCGTCTGTTTAAGCAAATCTTGACCAACCCATCCTACCCAACTATCCAACTTTGTAGCATCAATGAGGGCGTCGGTAAGTCGCTGGCCTCCCGTTAAGTATGAGTTACATCAACAACATCCTTCCTTTTCCCGTAACGGAGAAGATGGGCGTCGCTGGCAATGGTAATTGTCATGCTTTTCCTGTTCTGAACTTTGATTGGAGAGCTATTAGTTCCCAAATAGTTTTCCTTAAACAATCAGAATAAGAACGTTAAAGTAGATACATGACAGTTGACAGTATGCAATCTACGAATTACTTTGTACGCAACGCAAGAAAAGCTAGAAATGTAGTCTCCCCAATTACTAAATGTTAAGAAATACGTACCAGCTGCGACTGTGTAAACGCTCATGAGCAATGTCAATAAAAAAATGGATTAATTAATGAAGAGAAGAGTTCTTCATTCCTTTATTTAACGTTGGTTCTGTTCCGCAATCTAGTCCCAACCACCGACGGACATCGATAGCCATCCATTGACGGCAATCGAATATGCAGGAAGGCAGCTTCTACACACCTGCGTAGGATATCGTACCCATCCAACACACATGGGCCGCGAGCAACGGCTTTACTTCCCTTCCGAAGGAAGACGTGACCAGAGATTTTTATGCCTCAGAAAAATCCCACCGACCTCGGCTGGGATAGAACCCAGACCCATTTGGGTGTTAGAAAGCAGTCACGCTTACCACTACACCTCCGGCGCCGGATAAAAGAGAAGAGTTAACAATACTTTTTTTCAACGATCCCTGACAATTAGAAGGAAATCGGTTAAAAACTAATGTTTTGACAAGCCTTGTTCTGTGTGCAAATATCGTTGTACACACCCTTCAATCACACCTGAGATAGCAATCTGCACTTAACGAGAAAACTCTACGTTAACCTTAATGCCTATAGGGGGGAAATATAGGCATCACCTATTAACGACCTAACACAGCTGTACGATGAGAAAATAACAAACAGGTTGTAAATAGAACAACTATCTATGATTAACTTCGGCTCCCAATCCCATTTTTACCAGCTTCTAACTTCGCTACCATGCATCCAGACTAGAAGATGAAACTGAAAGTAACTTACACATTAATCATGCAACTAAGAATTTGGACAACGAACAAAATAATAAAAAGCCGCATGCGATAAGAAATTAGAGATGGATGCATACGGCAAACAATATTAAAGCTTGAGAGTCAATTTCACAAACATTTACTATTATGTTCTGTTCAATTAATAAACCATAAATATTTTGTCTTAATGAAAAATGCGATGAAACCGAATTAAGAATCATTGAAAGTATTTGGATGAGAAGTCGTAAGTTAATGCGACCGGTTATGCATTAGAAAGGAAGTGAGTTTGATTGGAATGATGAAATCTACGAACGCGAACATGAGGCTGCGGATCAATCTTCATAAATTCTACCATTTACCAGAAAACTACTCGAAGCAATCCGCAACCTCCGTCGGCATGTGGTTTGATGAAATGAAAGTCTAAGATGGAATCCAAAACTATATAAAACTATATATATAAGGGCAAAATACAACGAATACAACAGGGAGGGAGGGAGGTAAAGATCGTGTCAAGAGATGATGATAAGAAAAGGCTCCGTAAAAACCTTTGAATGGCTTTGCTCGCCGGTCCCAGATGACCAAAGCCCGAGGCGATGGTATTTATTTCCACCTGCTTCCAGCAGCAGTAGGGTTTAGCCCGGGCGCACCGGATTGGGCATGAGTTCTCGCACTTTGTTTCCAGCATCAAATCGGATCGTAAAAGGCCCAATGAAATCGGCTAAATCGATACGAGGTGGGAATGTTGATTTAACGGGAGTTGGTAGGCGGTCAGTTCAGATTTAGTCTTTTTTTTTTTGTTAATTCGTTTCGGTCTGCCATAGCTAATATTAATATGTATGGCTATGGAGTATTTTGATGGGAAATGGAACTGTGCTTTGGTAGGGTGATAAATTAAAACAGTACATACCTGAGAGATTCCCTCCTTCAGAACGGTTTCGTAGATTTCAAACAGAGCACCAGTAAAGGCATCCACCTGAATCGTGTTCCGCAAAGTTTCCTTCAGAAATTCCTCATCGTGGGCAACATAATGCATCAGCTCGTTGAGAGTTACTTGCAGCTCAACAGCTTTCTCGAACTCCTTCCTCGGGAACGAACTCGGTGTCAAGATAAATGGAGCAAACTGGGAAAGATAAGAAAAGACAAATCATTCTGGCGTGAAACGGCTTGTAGATGATCGTGACAATGCATGTATGTCTACTTGATAGATATGCAGTAGTAGGCCTAGATTAGATTATTACAAGCCCGGAAATGAGTCAGCAGAATCAGCTCATTTGACGTTACAACATGTCTTCAGCCCACAGTGCTCACCCGGCTATGCTACATCGTTATATAATATACAAGCAATTCAAAACAACAACGCAATGTTAGTCAACACCGTAGGCAGTAGAACTCACCTGCAGAGCATCCGGGCTAAAGTTGTTCTTGGAACGCATAGCGGCTCCGTGCATGATGGCCCAGTCCTTGGCCTTCTCGATGACCTCCAGCAGACACTCCTCCTCGATAGGAATTGGAATGCATGATTCCAGCACAGGTGCATCGTTCGTAGCCATTTCAACTATTACACCAGTTTGCTTCGTCAATTGGAAATATACTACCGACTTCTAGCTGCTCTCGCTCGAAACTAAACGAAAAGCGATTCTAACCGAGCTCTAAATGGATGACAGACGAATGGATTCGGGTTAAAATACTGAAAATTGATAAGATAAACCGAATGCGTGGTTGGACACGGCAGCGATACTGACGATTTGTTTACTCGTTCGTTGCTTTGACTGTTGTTAATGTATTAGCGCTCGGATAATTCTGAAAGGGCCTATTTTTTGCTTGAAACTGAAAAATAAACGTTTAGGGCTTAGCTGTATCAACAATGTTGCGGCACGTTATTTTATTTACATCAATAGTTTACAATTTAAAATCACTCACAAAAGGATAGCTATTTTTGGCATGCTGTTTGCATTTCGCCCTATGAACAGAACACACTCATGTTGACAATTCGAGCAAGAGAAAGAGCTAGAGTTAATTTATAGTTGTGTTTGTGACAGAGTCATTCTGTATTAAGATGAATGACTCGTACACATGCGTTCACACATTCATCATAGAACAGCTGAGATGAATGATTTTATATAATATGAGCTGGCGCCGGTGGTGATTTGTTTATAGTTATTTCACTACAACGATTTAGACCTCGATTGGGGGAGCCTTGAAAGCTTACTGATTTTAAACAAGCAATAATCGTTTGTTCATGCTTTTTGGAATAACGTCCGAAACTCATAAATTTAAGCATCTCAAACTTAAGAAAGTAGATTTCTCAGACCCAGCTAATTCCATGAATTTTATAACTAGTTTTTCTTTAGATTTGGAATATTTATCATCAGTTACATCTCAAACATAGGAACCAAAATTAAGTTCTAGGAGTTTGAATTTTATAATTTTCTAAAATTCTGGGTTTGAAACCTGGTAAAGTGCACACTGAATGAATTTCTTACATTTAGGACTTAGAAAAATTGTCAAGACATACAGTGTATCTCAAAATTGAGGGTCCGTACATTTCAGAAAAACAGCTGTACGAGCACAACTTAAAAAGAAAGATTTCTAAATTTTTGGCTGCTGGCTCATCAACCATTTATTGGTTATCGGTATAGTATTGGGCTTATTTGGATAAGTGTGTAAGAGGTTAGAGCTATTTTAGACAAAAAAAAACTAGATTTCCTAAATAAAAACACATTTTCTTGAAATACAATTAGCCAAACATATTGAACTTTTGCTAATCTGTAGTCATAATAAAGATCTTTAAAATGCCCGCTAATTTTACTAAAATCCGCCTACTATGAAAAAAGTTGAAAATCGACCGTTTTACTGAAATGACTCAAACTTTATACATACTCTGCCAATAAAGTCCAAAGCCATACTGATAAATCAAGAAATAATTGTTCAACCACTAGCCAAGCTTTCAAAAATCAATCTACTAACAGTCTTTAAAAAAAATCCAATTCAGGTGTACGCTAATTTTTGAGATACACTGTATGTCCATGCACAATTCCTTACATTCTGAATGTTAAAATAAAAATGGTTTTTTAGATCCAAATTACATATGTTTTCAAGATTTTGTAACTAAAAAATAGATATCTTTGATTCAGATTTTAAGTTTTAATTCTTCGAATACATTTTGACTAGGTATATGTTTAGTATTATGTCTGCGTGAAGTCAACGATTTACATAGTTGAAGATGCTAATTTCAAATAACAGACTAAAGTGGTAAGTTGTATACGATAGATGAGGAGATGAAAGAATAGAATTGAAAGTTCCGTTAGAGTACGGCAGTGTGAAAATTGCATATAGAGAGTAGAAAGCGGACAAGCACAACTTTAGGACAACGGCGCCGGTGGTGTAGTGGTAAGCGTGATTACCTCTCACCCCAGCAGGCCTGGGTTCAATACCAGTCGGCGCCGCCGGGATGTTCTGAGGCATAACATCTCTGATCACGCCTTCCTTCGGATGGGGAAGTAAAGCCGTTGGTCCCCGGTTCATGAGTTTGATGGGTCGATAGGTAGGGTCCAGGTGTGGGAGCTGCCTTCCTGGCACGTCGGTAGCATTGGTGCTCAGCACGGAAAACAAGATCGACGGAAAAAACAAACCAAAGGAAAAATAAAAAAAAACAACTTTAGGAAGGTACAAATCGCATAATCATCTCTCTTTACCAAACTCCCCCGTTGGAGAGGGATAGTGAGGGGTGGGTTGGTAAAGGGAGATGATCAAACCGATTTGTACCTTCCTATAAATGGAAAACTCCACAAAGAAAATATGCCTGAAAAAAAAAAATTCGACGAAATTTAGTTCAAAATACATGTTAGGGATTAAAAAGGCATAGGCTTAGACAAGCTTTGACCTGGAATTCGAGATCTGAGGAAACTTACCAAGATTCTTAGACTTACACCATTTTTGAAAGGAACATTCTTCGAGATAAAAAAGTAAGATAAAATTAAGATTTAAAATTTTTGAGTTATATAAAATCAAGATTTAACTTTTATTTGCTAAGCCATTCAAACTATCCTGAAGCTGAATTCCGGGCATACATTTAATAGAAAAAAAAAATTATGTATATTTAGAAAATTTCCATCTCCATTTCCATTCTTCCATAATGAAATTCCCAAAACCTCCAAGTAGGTCATGGAGTTTTTCTGAAGTAAGATCTCTGACAAACTGCAACGAAGTTCTTTAAACTGAAGCTAGGATCCGAAGTTTATTGAACTAGATGTTAGATCTTCTAAAAAATTCCCTAAACTTTTTCAAAATTCCTTACACTAATGCGAAGTTTTACGCAGCTCCTGCTACGAAATTCGCAAAACTTCTACAAAGTTTGCTACGTTTCTCTTTGAACTTCCGCGAAGTTGCACGAACGAAATTTCTTGAAGTTGTGCGTAATTTCCACAACTATTCTAAGTCCATGAGGCTTGAAAAAAGTGCTCTAAGACTATATAGAGTCTCCCGATCAATAATGAGCTTCCCTGAAATAAAATAATGTTCCCTTTACTTCTACAAAGCTCCTCAAAAAATAAATAAATTTTACACTTCTACGCAGTTTCAGAAGTTTTCCAAGTCCCTTGTTTCTACGAATTTTTATGAAGATCTATGAAGTTCCCAGAATTTCTACTAAGTTTCCTCAATTTCTACGATGTTCCCTGAACTTCTTAGGAGTCCTTGAAGTTTTACGTCTTGGAGGTTAAAGAGAAGTACAACCTGCTTGGTTGGTGGTCTAACAGTAACTAACATTTATTTTCTGAGAGAATACAAATTAATAATAGCATGGCTTGCTTCAATGTCGTTCTTGTTTCTACTTCAACACTCCTTCTCAAGGACGATGTTTTGCAAGCCAATCTCCTCCCGTATCTGCTGCAGCTTAATTCGGTCTAGTGGTTTTGTCAGCGCATCCGCTCACATCTCCTCTGATAGACAATACACGATGTTGAGGACTCCTGATCCGTACAAATCCCGGACAAAGTTATACCTGGTATCGATGTGCTTTGTTCGTCTAGTCACTCCTTCGGCACTCAGCATACTGATACAGCTTTGGTTGTCTTCGTAGACGGTCACGGGTTGCTGAATATCCTCGCCTAGTCCTCGCATTAACTTGAGCAGCCAGAGAAGCTCTTTGGTGGCCTCCGCAAGTGCGACATATTCCACTTCGGTTGAATACAAGGTCACGCACTCCTGCTTGCGAGCTGTCCAGCTAATTACTCCTCCGCCAAGCTTGAACAGAAATCCAGAATTGGACTTTCTATCCGTACGGTAGCCCGCCCAGTCAGCGTCAGCGTATCCTTCAAGATTGCCTCTTCCTCCCAGTCGCAGCTTTAGTCCAGCAGTACCCTTCAAATACCGCAGGGCTCGTTTCGCTTCCGTCCAGTCACGTTCCATTGGTTTGCTGACTTAGCCCCCAAGGATGGACGCCGTGATCGCTAAATCGGGTCGTGTGCAAACAGCAACGTAGAGCAAAGCTCCCACAAGGCTCTGGTATTTGTCGATGGTCAACATTTCCCCCTCCTTTTGCTCTATGGTGATGCACCCGGGGTCCATCGGAATCGGTGACGATTTTGCTTGTTCCATCCCAAACATGGTCAGTATCTTCGAAATGTACGTGTCTTGACACAATAGGAAACTTCCATCAGCATCACGTTCAACACGAATCCCAAGGTAGTTGCTTACATCACCCACACACGAAATCTTGAATTTCTGCTCCAGGTGCCCGTACTCGTTCGTACTCCTTGACGCCGTCGATGACGATCAACATATCGGCTTCCGTTGCTTCGTACCCCAGCTTCTTCAGAACGTCGGTAATGGTCTTGTTCCAAACCCTTCCTGCTTGCTTCAGGCCGTACAAGCTCCTCCTCAAATGACATACATCCGTTGGACTTCCGGTTTCGTACCCTGGTGGCTGACGCATGTAAATTGTCTCCGAAATTTCTCCATACAGATACGCCGTCTTGATGTCGACATGCTTCACCTGCATCTTTCGGCGTGCTGCTACCGACAGGAGCGCCCGGAAAGTGGCGTGTTTTGCAACGAGCGCGTAGACCTCGTCGTAGTCAGTACCAAATTTTTGGCTGTACCCTTGAGCGACAAGTCGGGCCTTGTATCATGCTACATTCCTGTCCTCATCCAGCTTCTTCTTGAAAATCCACCGGCAGCCTACTGGTTTCCGATTGGTGAGAAGGCTGACGATATCCCATGTGGAGTTTTCCTGCAGCTACGTATACTCCTCGTCCATCGCTTTCTTCCAGTGTTCACGCTCTGCACCCGACAGTGCTTCTGCTAGCGTCGTCGGCTCGAACGATTGCTGACTCATCAGCTTGCTGGTTCCAGTGAATCGGCGGTACCCCTTTGGTTGACCGACTTGAGGCACGTATCGGGATACACGTGGACAATGGATCTCTCGGTGCGTTGAGGGGACGTTCATCGGCATTGTGCTGCTCGGTGAGCGTAGGGTCCTCGTATGATTCGTTGGATGTATCGTATTGATCCTCTTCCGCTTCGGATTCCGACACAAGTTCTTCCTTATCGTCAGATGGCTCACCGAGAACGTCCCCTGCAACGATAGGAAAATTATTAGTTTTTGAATTGTCGGTCAACGAGAAGTCAATGTTACTTCTATTGTCATCTTCTTTGTC